TTTAGATCCATACAGCTTAGTGTATATAACCCACATTATACCATGATTCTGTGTTGGACACGAGATACCCAGTTCTGTTCAGTATTACGACATTTTTGGAGTAAAACGGCTTTCCTGCGTAAGCCATTCCACATTGTGCCATGGCAGAGGATCAAGAGTGATATCTGAACACGAATATGACTGCTTTACTGCAAGAGGCTTGTTTTCATTCATCGATCGACATGTGTTTGTGACAATTTTTTTTTACTTTTGCCTTTTGAATAGAACAAGAAGTGTTCATTATTTTATATACATAGTCGTTGGGCGGAATCACGTTTTTGATTCATTTCAAATTCGTAAAAAATCATTACGACAAAACCTAAAACAAGTCTCATCTCGAACTTATGTAATATGTTATAAAGCGATTTTTCTCTATGTCAAACTCTTATCAACAACGGTGTTCAGGCAGCGAGCCCGTGCGACTCTAAAATTATTGTTATGAAGTGTCTGTTGGCGCGACTTCCAGTAAGAAATTAGTTTACACCTTCTGCAACTTGTGTTTGCCTTAAATGGTAACTTTTTTAAGCCGATAATATACTTCCTTGAAATATACTCGAACTTTTGCGTTTCTTTTACCCTAAAAAAAAAGGGCAATAGAGCTTTTCATGATAGGCAGTCTCATCACTTAGTATATTATGACAACTTAGTCAAAACAACTTAGAGACATCAAAATGCTAAACATAGCAGCATACCAAAACAGTCCCATCTAAGACACTTTGATTGACGTTTTTGTCAAGACTTAAGTAATCTTTTTGCTTTCAATTCTTCTCTGTTAGCCACAAAAATAGCCTCAGGCGCGTTAAAATTTATTGTTTCTGTCATCTCAAAGGAGGAATGAAATAGTATCGTAGAAGTAAAACCTCTGAATCCAATATTCATAAAAGCAAATTAAACCACTTATGTAAGGCTAATGCATAATGCGTCGCTGGGGGTATTACAAAATAATTTATGTTTTATGAGCTGAGTTGATAGTGTAAATGATAGATATATCATAGACATCGAGATGGACTGGTGTAAAGAGTTTCTAAAGCTGACGTTTTAAGCCCTAGCCCTTCGTCAATGCATTATCCACTCATTTAGTAAAACCAGATTATCTTATAATGCATGAATGATTCGCTTTGAAATCTGGGTGAAATTAATGCATATTTTATGCACAACAAACAGCAAGATAATTGCAGTCTAATTAGAGGTCGGAGCGTTTTTGTCTATTCTGCCATTATATTTCGTAACAGGTAAAACTGAGTTTTAAATGAGTGACTGAAGATGATTGCCACTATCCTTATAGTACAATTGCCATAAATTTAGTGAATTCTTCTAAGTTTTCTCTTAAAGTTATTAATTCACGGAAGTGGAAGACAAACAATATTTCCCTTTGCCAAATAGTTCAAAGATCGATTTTTGAATGTAACGGTGATAAAACAAGTTCTTGTTGTCCCAGAAGAAAAAGCAATGTCGTGCTATTGCATACATCTAAAACGTTCGTGAGATCGCGGGCAAAGACAAAGCGGCAATGGCGCTGAGTACATGGCCAACATAGCGCGCATCATATTAGAAGGCTTCGACACCGACATAATGATTTTATGATAAAATTATTTTCACAGTTTATCAATTATTATTCTTTTTTGAATCGGTTCAAATCGCTAGGTCAAAAGCCTTCTTTGCAAATATATAGGTAGCATAACTACATCTTTGGCAAGGAGTTTGATACAAGGTCAAAGGGAACCAGCATTTTGAAATGTTTCCGTAACTTCAGTAGAGCTTCAACTCGCGTGGCCTAACTGTGACCATTGCTTCAACTACATCTCTTATACCATCTATCTAGCTACAATTTGGAATTTATAATTACACTTACGATAATAAATCCTTGTTTTGTTGGCCATGGTCGGCTTTTTCTCCTCAGGCTTGTCCAAATGGCGTAAAGTAAAGATGCCGCCTGTGGTATCACTAAAGCGAGCACGAGCATCATCACCAATGCCTGTTTATTCGCCTCTGCAGAATACTCTGCTGTAGTGTTCGTTTTAGTTTCTTGTGCACTTTTAAACTGATGCCCAAGAACCAGCAAACAAAGCTTGCTAGTCACAATACAGAATAATACAGCCAAGAAAATTAGAACTGCAGATATCCATTTCAAGATGCATATAAAGCCGTTGAAAAATTGACCATTTTCAAGCTTTGCGCTCACGACTGACTCAGCAGAATCTTTCCTTTGCACCGTGAATCTCTTTCGAGTTCCTTCGAACGGAGCCATGTTGGAGACATCGAGGTGGTCGTTGACTTGAGACATCAGAAAGAGCATCGCTTCAACAGTATTTTACTCGTCAATGAATTAATACCGCCCAGGGGTGAACATAAATTTTTAAGTCCTTGTCACCCATGCATGAGCCCTTACAGACGTCTATGTCAATCACATGCATTAAACTTAATCATAGATGACGTAGAAATTAAAATAGTCTTAATTTTTCTCTTAACAACGAAGCTAACCAAAGCATAACATTCTCGAAACGCTTGATACAGCAAATGTTTACTTCTTGGCCCGTAAAGTTATAGCGAATCACAGGATTTCTGTAGAAAGAACTCTATAAAACAGGAAATAATCCACAAAAGCTTAAACAGCGAAAACTAAATTGTCGGCGATTCTTAACTAAAAGGAACCCTTTCGCAATCATATCAAAACCACTCAGTCTCGGAAACTAGTCTACCGCCATTTAAGGGAATTAAGGCTCCATATAGATTCTGTATAAAGCTCCATATTTTTCTCTCCGGGTTCTATTTTAAGTGCCTTTGATTTTGGCATGGCTGTCTTTAGAGGATAATATTCTTGTTGGCTAAAAGATTAATACTATACTTAGGTACTTTGCCCTTCATCGAGACGATGGCGGTCAATCCACCTGTAGACAGAAGATAATTTATTTCCGCATTTTAAGGCAAAAGAGTGCATAGCTTGGTCGTCAACGTTACGAGTTTATTTACCCAAAGGTAACGGGGTCATGCACGTAGACACGCACTCTTTAAGACATACAGAATATGACTCACAAGTTGTATCCGAAAGGGCATACGTTTATTTAGTCGACTTCTATTGGAAGGTGAAAAAACCAACAACTAACAAACACTGACTGAAGGGGTTAAGTTTCTAAAAACTCTGTGTTGCTGCGTCGGTGGGAGAGTATAATCGGGTAATTTAGTATTATAAACTCAGTTGATAATACTAAAATTGAGACAGAGGCTTTTCGTTATTTTGGCAAAATTCTACGCAACCGAACACTTCAGCAAAAGTGGAAGCTGTTTTCCTACCATTAAAATAAACGCGTACTGCTCAGCAACGAAAACAAAACGAAATCGACATTCATGCACCGAACGACCAAATTTTTTCATTCTCTACCTCAAAATTCGGAAATAGGTTTTTAAGAAGTTTCCGCAACCCTTCAAATTTGACGTCACATTATTTATTGGGTCCTCGGACAGGCACAAATCCAGCACAACGAATGTCTACGATTGAATAAAAGGAGAAAGTTTCTAAAGAAACTGTGGTGCTGCGTCGGTGGAAGAGCATAACAGGATAATTTAGTATTATCAACTAACTGTTCTCAGAACAGCGGACCATGCCAAGCGGACCATGCCAAGCCTGAAGAAACTTATTCTTGATTTCTCGTCACCATATTCCCACCAATAGCGTAGCTTTATTTTCTGTGTATAAACCCAAACACAACCCACGATTCCTCCAATTGCTCTGACGAAAACGATTCAAAACGCCAACTTTTGAAACTATTTACGGTGGCCAATTTACGTTATTAACTTAGGTTGATAGTACTAAATTACCCTGTGAATCTCTGCGATTGTCTGCGATCCGATGTGAAAGTCATGAGTACAAGAGGGTTCTTTAGCTGATTGATTTCATTTAATTATCTTCTTTAAACAAAGAAGGCGTCGGCGATCCAATCTCATACGCACCCTTTATCCACGGAGAACCGCATGCATTAGAAGCGACCGACATTTCGCGAACTAAATTTTCCGTTGTAAATATCAGTCGATAACGTGGATATGGAAGGATTTCGGGCATTATCGGTGAAGCAATTAACAGATATATCCCAAGAGTATCTCCTCAACCGAACTTTGTGGAAAAAATGCAATTCATGGTTCATACGCTCAGCCATTTGTAGATAAAGATTGTTGGCGAGTAATTTAACTAACACCCAAGTGTTATCTAATTTCAATTGCACACGTTTTCCGTCTTCATAACCAAATTAATTCATAAATAATTGTTCACAGCCTTTCCAAAAGTCCATATGAGATCATCACAGAAAAATGAGATCATCACGTAGGTCAAATAAAGATTGGCAGAGTATTTTTGTTCTCATTTATTTGTCTCGAGCTGGCTGATTACTCAATTTAAGTGTTCAAGCGGAACTCTGAGTTCATTCTACCGCTAATTGCAATAACAATAGGGTTCCGTTCTTGCTCCCGCGTGTCTCTATATTATTTTCTCACATTATCATGTTTCAGGGCGAAAATAATTCATAAATTGACGATTAAATAATTTCA